ACACCAAGTCAGCGGCATGGCAGGCCGGTAGGAAGGAGAGGCAGTGGGTCTCTGCCAGTGCTGTGGGTGCCCAACCTACCTGCCAACGAACCATAAAAACATATTCCATTTGGCCGTGGGAGGACTGACTATAGGTTTCAGGGCTGAGTTAGTGAGGTGTCAGCCAAATCAGACTGTATTGCACCAGAGTGGTATGTGGGTGAAGCCTCAGGAATCTCACAGGTGTGAGAGCAGGTTATGTGAGATGGGTGTAATTTAGGTGGTGAGGGATGAAAGGAAGGGGCAGGGAGGTTGGGTGGGCGAGGGTGGAGGCAAAGAATGGGGCACCAGACGGAGTGGTTAGATCAGTGGTTTGGAATCATTTTTGGGTCATGGCCTCCTTCGAGAATCAGACGGATGCAAAAGAAAGGATGTGCACACAAGCATACATGTGCTACACACATGCACACATACATGTGCACACACACACACACACACACACACACACACACACACACACACACACACACACACACACACACACACACACACACACACACACACACGCACGCACAAACGGCCCCACAAATTTTGCACACAAGGGTGTGAAACCTAGGAACCTCAGATGCTCATCTAGAGGCTTGGGATTAAGAATCGCTGGTTTGGTTTAGGTTAGTTCGCAGAGACTTTCCAAGAAGAAATCCTCAACTTCATTAAGGTCCTGAGAATGTTTGGGTCCTCTCACATGAAAGATGTTTAGGGCTATTTTCAGGTTTAGGGATGAAATTCCAAAATGTATTTATTCCATAAAGGGTTTATTTTCTCCCAATTTTCGTTTTGAAAATGTTCAAACCTACCCAAATGTTGCAAGCTCATGTACTCTTCAGCACATTCACTAATTGTCAACATTTGCCCCAATTCCCCCCTGCCCCCATGTACGCTTAGGCTCTCAGGAATTCAAGTTCTTACGGAAAACCGTACGAGAATAAATCGCAGGAGCAGTGATACTTTGTCCCTAAACACGTAGCTCCAAAAATCGAGGGTTTCTCTTGCATGTACACAGTGGTCACACAGCATTTAACTTTGGCATACTCTGTCGTGTAACACACGGTCTGCATTCCGATTTCCCGACAGTCCCAATAATGTCCCTCTGGTAGCTGTGTTTTTCCTCCTCCCCCCTCCGCCCTCCTTTCTTTCCTACCTTGCAGTTTTCTTTATCCTGGATTGAATTCAGAATCATTCTTTTTTTCTTTTTTTTTTTTTTTCAGTTTTGTTTCTCAGACTTCTTTAATGAAGACCACCACCCCTGGGAACTGTTCTGTTTCTCCATTTTTTTAAAAACTCTTTTTTTTAAAAATTATTTTATTTAACTTTGTTTATCCATTCATTTATTTATTTTAATTTAACCAGAGAGGGATAGAGTATGTGTGTGTGTGTGTGTGTGTGTGTGTGTGTGAGAGAGAGAGAGAGAGAGAGAGAGAGAGAATGCAAGAGAAAGTGAGAAAGCAAGCCATCAGGTCCGGAATTTGAACCACTGTCGGCCATGTGGGAGTTCAGTGCCCTTAACCACCACACCACCTGCTGGGCCCTGTTTTGTTTCTCTTCTAACACTGAGAGTTTTTCTTCCTTGTTGCTGTTCTTTTTGTTTTTGCCATAGGGCGAATGTGCTCGATGGAGCGAGACTGAGGAGAGGGAAAGTAACCCTCCCCCGCACCGGGGAGAATGGCACCAAAATCCTCCTGGGATTTTGGGCAATACACACATATGTGCCTGGCGTGATTTTCAAGCTGTCAGATCCAGTACTCGAGCTGCGGCCAGCTATGTGGGAGTCCAATGCCTTAACCGCCACACCACCTGCTGGCTCCAGCACTGACAGTTCTGAAGACTTCAAGCTAGCTGTTTTGCAGACTGTCTCCCGGTTTGGACTTGTCTGCTGTGATTCTTTTTATTTTTTTGGAAAGGTTTTCGCTGTAGGGCGTGTGCACTCACCAGACAGAGAGAGACAGAGAGACAGAAAGCGAGAAATCACCCCCCAGGGGGGATGGCCACACTGCAATCCCTTCTCCTCCGTTCTCCTCTCGGGATCTTGGGCATGCACGCACACGCGCCCGGCGTGAGTTTTAAGCCACTGGGTCCGGGACGCGAACTGTGGTCGACTACATGGAAGTCCAGCGACATAGCCATTACGCTAACTGCTGGTCTCTGTGGTTCTTATGATTAGTTTCAGGTTAAATATTTTTGGCAAGAGTACTGCCTAAGTGATGTGTCTCTTCTTAGTGCACCACATCAAAAGGTCTATTGGTTCCTTATTGATAACTTTGGCCCATGGTTCAGGTGGGGACCTCCAGGTTTTTCTTTGTCATCAGTAAGTCAGCTGTGGGGTATTCACCGAAGCTGTTTTCAGTGGAAGAGATGGAAGATAAACCAGGGGGGACCAGCAGTTGGCATAATGGCTATATCGCTGGACTCCCATGTAGTTGACTGCAGTTCGAGTCCCAGACCTGGTGGCTTAAATTCACGCTGGGTGCGTGTGTGCCCAAGATCCTGAGAGGAGAATGGAGAAGGGATTGTGGTGTGGCCATCCCCCCTCAGGGGTGATTTCTCGCTTTCTGTCTCTCTGTCTCTGTCTTTCTGGCAAGCGCACTCGTCCTATAGCAAAAACCGCTCCAAAAAAAAAAAAAGAAGATAAAACAGGGAACAAATAATGAAAAGATATACAGTTTTATGATAGATATGGATTGGATGTTGAGATAGAGAACTATCAACTCTATAAAAAGTAGCATTTAAGGCTGAAGAGGGAAAAGGAGTTAGCTATGGGACGGTGGGGGTGGAAGTGTTCCCTGGTCAAGCCTGGGGTGTGTAAGAAACTGAAAGATGGCAGTGTGATGGTTTCAGGGAGAGAGAGAGTGACAGGAGAAAAGCCTTGCGTCTGGTAATAATAACATTGAACAGTTAGTATATTTTTTATAAAGTTTTAAAGAATTATTTTATTTCATATTTTTCATCACCATTATTATTATTTAATTTGACCAGAGAGACAGAGACAGAGAGAGGGAAAGTGAGAAAGCAAGCCACCAGGTCCAGGACTCGAACTGTGGTCAGCCATGTGGAAGTCCAGCGCCTTAACCACTATATCACCTACTGACCCCAGAGCACTTAGTATATTAATATTGAATACTATTCTAAGTGTCTTAGATGGTTTATCTTGTTTTATTCTTCTACCCAGCACTAGGAAGTAGGTGCTATTGCTTTATGTTGTCAAATCTGCACAGAGAGGTGGACCACTGGACCCAAGGTCACACAGTGTGTAGACAGCAGAACTGGGATTCAAATCTGGATAGATCTGACCCCCAACTCTTAACTCTATCAAAGAGGATGGAACAGTCTCATCTGTTGATAGGAAGCAGAGCGTGGAAAAGGATTGAAGTCGAGCAACCTGAGCTGGGTGAAGAGGTTCTGTTGGTAATGGATGTGGATTGGTTAAGCACGGCAGAAGCAAGGTCCAGAAGAGCAGAGTGAAGCGGGTCCAGGCCAGGAGGCAATATCATAACAAGCCAGTTTGGTTACTCCCCTCTACCCAAGCTCTAGACTGTCCCTCAGGCAAACTTGGAAATTCTCCTGCTCTTCCCCCTCCAAATTGCATATTAATTACACAGGGAAAAGGTCACTCTACAGTGTGACCTGGCTGGTTCCCGTTTAACCCAGCTACAGAAGTGGACCTTTAGAGGTTCTCGCGGAAGGCCCTGGAAGAGAATTTGGGGGAACATGGAGGAGAAGACTTTTAAGTAAGGTTCTGGATGAGGAGAGAATGGGAAGGCTTGGGATAGAGAAGTCTATGGTGATAGGGCAGGGTCCAGAGGGGAAAGGAGAGGGTGTATTTCTGGGACAAAAGGAGAAATCGCGAGGTTTATGAGTAGGTCACTAGGAGGGACTTAATGGGAACAGTGTGGATGACAGGAGGATCAGAACAGAGTCAGCATGGAAGGTCTTGGAGTGTGTAAACCCTGGGTGACAGGAGGCGGAGGTCTGGGGGCAGGTGTGTCCAGGACAGTCCCGGAAGGGCTGGGACATGCAGGGTACAGCTCCAGGGGAGCAGCCTGTGGCTACAGGCGGGGCTGTGGGGACCGGTCAGGCCAGCCTGAGGATGGCAGATGTGGCCACGTGCGCTAGGGCTGCAGGAGGCCAGGGCAGGGCCAGGGCGGGGCCGGGGCGGGGCCGGG